GATGGCGGGAGGGAGGGAGGGAGGGAGGGATTAGGTCCTGATTAGATTGGGCGATCTTCGGCCTGAGCTGTGCAGCTTCCGCAAGTTTCACTGTTGCGTCTACCTTGCTGCAAATCAAGAGCTGTCGGAAGAACTGCTGCTGCGCACTCCAAAAGTTCCGCATGTGCACAGAGTTCTCCTTTAGCTCGGTGGTATGCTTGAGCTTCTTCCGTCTGACCTCGCGCGTACGTGCCTTCAGCAGACGTACGATTATTCGGAAGGCTGCTTGCCAGAATAAACAGGAGCCCACGTAAACGGGTGCTTCTTCCTCTGTCCCCAAAGAAATAGGCACCAAGCGAAAGGAGGCACCTTTGAAGGAAAGTGAGCGGCAAGACAACATGCCTTCCGCGCGCATGGTCATTGCAAGCAACTCCATGGCCGCCAGACCGCCTCCTTCTACGGCCAAGCGCAACTCTTCAAAAGTTTTGTGAGGACGACCTTTGCCCCACAAACCAAGGCGTTCCAAGTATCCCAGGTGTCGCCTGGGCAGGTGTTGCTTCTTGCTTCGAATGAGATGAATGAGTCTGTTATCAATCAATCTGTTACGTTCTGAGTTCCAAGGCCCAGGAGTGTGACGAAGTTCAGGTGCTTTCGGACATGCTGCTCATCATCTCAGCGTTTCAGAACGAAGCAACGAAGGACAAACACCTGTACAACATCATTACAGATCTGTGGTCTGTGGCAGTGGCAACCTAAAGTTGACATCTTCCGGACCCGAATAAGTCTCGGCTGCACCAAAGCATTTATGGGCCTAGGGCCTCTTTGCGCAGGATTTGGTGGCTGGCGTTAATCATTAAGGTCACCACCTGCAAGAAAATGTCAAGCACGCCAGTGCACCATCCACAGCCCCTTTCTAGTACTGTGCTTCTTGAATTCCTGGGTCGGTGTCTTGTGGTCGTGTCTAGCCAAGCCAAGGAGCAGCTCCGTGGCTCCAGTGGCACTGGCATAGAGCACCGCAGCTCCAGGACAGGCGCGCTGCAGCTCCAGCGCTGAGAGCCCGGACTTGGACCCCGCTTGCGTCTCCGTGCCCACGTTTTTCGTGCGATGAGCCTCGTCGAGGGCAATGAGTCCGGAGGCACCGCCCTTGCCACGTCTAAGCCAATCGACGAGCTGACCAAGCCTCGAAGTCTCTGGCGTGGGCACACCTGATGCACCGCCTTTGCAAGCAACGAGGAGCTGGTAGCTGACGAAGATGACCCCGTTGCCGTCGGCATCCAGACCATGACCCGAAAGAGGTCCATAACCCATAGACGACAAGCTGCACAAAGGCACTGCTGCTCCAAGGTCTCGAAAATCTCTCGTTGCATCCTCCAGGAGGTCGCTGCTGGCACCTCGTTTCGACTTCACAATCTGGTCGCGACTCGGACCCTACAAAGCCCAAACTGAGATGCGAGCTCAACCATACGTGTCGTTTCGCACCACTGTTCCAGAGATGCCAGATAAGAGCGGCGATTATGCGGCCCTTTCCACAGCCAGTGCCATCACCCAAATAGTACCCAGCACGAGCCCCGGATGGCAGGTAAGAGCAAAAGCGGCGAGCCGCATATGCCACACTTTCCATTTGCACAGAACTCAAGCGCCCTTCCTCGGCCACGGACCTGGGAAGGAACACCAACTCATCGGACGATAGTCTTGGAAGCGATATCTCTGCCACGGCTGCCGGCTCCGTCAGCCAATCAGGATGCTTCCCACCCACTTGAACTACTTGAGACGTGCGAAAGGCATGCTGTCTCCTCTCCGACTCGTCCTCTTTGTCTCCACGTCCACCGCGTTGTGAATCGTCCTGTTCATGCAAGTCTTTCATGTCTGCATCTGGTTCCTCCGATGGCTCCAGGACCTGCGCTGGACAAATCCAATCACCGGCAGGCTGCAGACTGCGAGGAGCGACGCAACCCCGTCGAACGTGATTGTCATCCTTGTGGTCCTCCGGTTTCAGAGCCTTCACTCTGCTCTCCCCGGCTTCAGCTGAACGGTTCTCTTGTGACACTGGCCTCTTCTTTCGAGCTCTTGAAGGCGTTGGTGTTTTGACAGGCTCGGCTTGAAGCGGTGCCAGCACCTCTGGAGCCGATGCATCTACCTCGAGATCAGACCATCTCGAACGCTCGTTTGCATCCATGGCCTCCCACTGCTGGAGGACAACGACCTGCGCGTCCTCATTCTCAACGCCTTCTGACAGGAGTTCGGCCAAACGCCGTCCTTCAAAGGCTGCGAAAGCTTTCGCAATCACCGAATCCATCTTCCAGCGTCTTCGCTTGCGATAAGCTCGTGAGCATGGCAGAGCTGGAGCCCCTGAAAGTCGAACCCCTGCATGTGCCCAAGCCTGCTCCCCTCTGCAAGTGCAGAAAGCAGCTACCTGTGGCATTCCAAAACCTTGCCACGTCATAACAGTCAGCCTGCCTATGCATGTAGACTGCTATAAGTACAACAGACAAGAAATTGCAGCTACACTCCCCGTAAAGATTTGAGCGGGACTGCTCCGGTATGTCCTAGACGGTCTCTCTGAAATCGTGAAGAGGGAAATGTTGGAAAAAACATATGGGACTTCAGCCCGGAACAAAGCTTGGATAAGCTTGGTATCAGAAACTGCCATGCTACTCCGTGATCAAGCCGCTCCAATTGCGCATCGTCTTCTCTGGTGCTTTGTGCGCTCCCGAGTCGCTTGGTGCTCAGCTCTGATGTTTTGTCGATGTGAGTCCAAGTCAGGCCTCTCCGCAAAACACTGGTGCCAGTGCCCTCGCAACTCAATGCCAGTGATGGTACAGTGGATACAGTGAGCAGAGATGCTATATGAAAGACACATTAGCGGCTTTACATGTGTGTCATGTTCTTACAGACTAGCCCTTCATGACAAGACCATCCACTTACATAGCCACCCAGAAGCCAGAAACATTACTTACCCCCAAGTCTGCTCTCAATGGCTAGGGCAATTGCTGCAACAACCACTCCAATGCACACCTCGTCTTCTTGCGGCAACGCTGTTTAGTCGTCAACCACGAACGCTGACAGAAGCCGGAGGTGCATCGACGGAGCACGCCCCGCTGCACAAAATCCGCCTGGATTCGCGCGTCGAGGGTCTCGCGTGCCTTGAAAGTCACACCTCCAGGTCTGTGCGCAAGCAGCCAAAAAAGGACCGAAATGGGCCTTTTGCAGAGTTTTTGGTTATACGGCTCTGAGAACGGATCGGCTTGTCACAATAACGGTACATGCTGCTTACCCTACCATACAGCGCCGATTCTGCAAATGGCTCCACCTCAAGGCCCTGTCTGTTCGTGAGAGTCAAAGAACTCACGGTTGACAGCTCAGCCTTTCAAAGCTTCGATCAGTCACAAGGACTGCTGTCTCCCTGTGCCAAGCGTGGCTGCCTTTGTCGAAAGGCCTGAACCTAACTGAACGTGTCCATGGCCGGGTCCGCAATGGCTGGATGGTCTGAGCAGAGCTGCTCAGAAAAGCTTCTTACATAGGCACAGCTGATATGGCAAATATCCAGCGAGCGATTGGACAATCCGTGATGTGCATCCTGCCCTTGTCGCGACTCGGCCGGAAGATTGACAGCGGCTATAAACAATGGCAAGGAGCGCGCCTGCTCAAATGTCGTTCGTACCCCACTGTAGCTGTAATACTGCAACGTCCCATGAACGGTCTCAGACTGCTACGAATGAGCTCATTAAGACGACCAACGTTACCAATGTGATAATCAGCACAAGGATCATCGTGCAGCATGCAACTACCTGCAATGCCCTCTGCATGAGGCAATGTCGTCTGTTCATCTAAGACGCATCAGGATCATCATCAGCATCATCACCATCGTCGTCGTCGTCATTATCATTACTATCACGGTCATTATCGTCAGCAGCAACAACTGCAACAACCGCTTCGGCATTATCATAATCAGCAGCAGGATCATCAGCCCGAACATAGAAGCAGTGCGTGGCGTTGTCGTAACAGTGGTCACCGCCCTAACCGTCACTGGCACCCTTTTCATCATGGCTTACACACTCCGTGCTTTGCCGTTTCTTTTCCTAGAAGCACTTGAGCATTACTTTAAACCAAGCAGAAGTCTGACATATCATGTTTAAGATGCATGGCAGTGATACGGATATGCTTCCTGCAGTCTGTCGGCCTTGCCGTGTCATGGAGGAGTCGCACGAGCTTCCGAAGGTCGATCGATGTATGACGAGGACAATGGTGAGGCGGAGGAGGAGAGGAGGAGGAGGAACCGGAGAAGGAAGAAATCTGATGAGCATCAACATCGTCTTCGTAGTCGTCATCACCATCTTCATTATGTTTGTCTAAAACTAGCCTTCATAATCATACTTTCAAGGACGTCAAAATGCGACTATGCCTGACGGTTGTGGGCAGCAATGTTTCTGCTAATGCTACTGCTATGGTACCTATTCAGTGCTGCAGCCGTACTACTTGCGCTAGCATTAGCACAGCTGCTGCTCCGGCTGCTGCTGCCACAACCACTGCTGCTGCAGCTACAACTGCCATTGCTACATTCTACGTAGTATCACCACCACCACCACCACCACCACCACGACTACTACCATGACAACCGCTGTGAACCACCATGCCCGGTACGATCACTAGACCACCACCCGTACCGCTCGCTGCCACTACGACTGGTGCGACAGACACTACGACTGCTGCTACGACCACAACGACGACTGCACCAACGCCTACAATGACACAACATCCTGCAACTGCGGCTACGACGACGACTATTAATACTGCTCCTGCTCCTTCTGCAGCCGCTGCCATTATTTGCCACTACTGCTATGGCCACTACCACTACCACTACAACTTCTGCTGCTGCTGCTGCTACTAC